TTGTAAAAAAAATTTTTACAAATTTTTTACAAATATTTTTTACAGATTCTTTTCACAAATTTTTTGTTTTTTTACAAAATCTGCCGCAAATTTGTTCAAAAAAAATCTACTGCATATTTGTTCCAAAAAATCTACTGCAAATTTGTTAAAAAAATATGCTGCAAATTTGTTCAATTGGACCATGTTGTGTGTTATAAAATTTTGTGCTTATATAATGTGTTTTGTATGTTATGGAACTTTGTGTTATTGGACAATGTTGTGTGTTATAGAACTTTGTGTTTATATAATATGCTTTGTGTGACTATGTTATGTTGTCTTGAGTAGTAGGATGGAGGAGGGCAATGCTAGTAGCGGCGGAAGGGGTCGGAACAAACGCTATTGGACTCCGGAGGAAGATAAAGCTCTCATTGTTGCTTTGTATGAAATGGCTACTGATAGTCATTGGAAGTGTGAGAATGGTTTCAGAAATGGATATATGTCCAAATTGGAAGAGCTGATAAGCAAGGCCATTCCTGGATGTGGGTTGAAAGCTACTCCCCACATTGATTCGAGGTTGAAAATACTTGTTAAAAAGTATAGAGCTATAATGCAAATGGGATGATGAAAAGCATACAATTGCTGTTGAAAAATCAGTGTATGATGAGTATTGTAAGGTACGTTTGTTATCTTCTTCTATTGTAGTTTTATCTTTAAAGTCCATGATTTCATAAGGTAAACATTAACCCAATATATTGTTTTTAGATTCATCCAAATTGTAGGAATTTGTATGGTGTCCCATTCCCTTACCTGAATGAAATGGAGAGTATTTATGGGAAGGACTATGCTACTGGAAAGTCTGCCGAGGGCTTTGTTGAAGCCGTTGAGAACTTGGAGAAAGAAACTACTATACCGCTTAGCCTCGAATCTAGTGATGAGGATGTTACTGCTAATGAATCTTCTACCCCTCCTTTAAAGAAGGTGAAAATAGAGCGAAACATGAAAAGAGGAAGAAAGAGTGTTGATACCGCTAAGGGATCACAAACTTCTGAATTTATCAAGTTTGAAAACTTTGCGGATAATATGAATGTTCATCTTTCTGCAATGGCGGATGCCATGAAGAGAGCTGAAGATCGAGAGACAGAGGTCCACGACCGAGAGATGGAGCTTGCGAAGATGAGTGACAAAGTATTGGATGAACTGATTGCCTTAGAAGGCATTACTACCGATGAAGCGTTGGCAGCAGCAGAAGTCCTTTTAGCCCAACCTCATAAGCTCACACTTTTCTTCAAGTGCTCTAGTGCTTTGAGAACGAGATATGTCAAAAGTCTTCTAGGTGAAAGTTAAGGAGGAAGCCCATAAGTGCTTGTATTGGTGTCTTTATTTTGGACGATATTGTTTTGTTCATGACAATTGTTTTTTGTCCTTGTATTGTTGACATTGTTCTATTTTTGAAGTTTTGGACGGGTAATGTTTTTTGAAATAATCGTATCATCTTAAAAGTATGTTGTGATATATGAATTTTGTTTAATTGTATATTTGATAAAATAAATAAGTATTATTTTTAACAAATTGATCATAACTGTGTAAAAAAATTTGATTTCCCTGTTTTGAACCAAACACGAACAAAGGGAATTCTATTCCCTTTCCTGTACTGAACCAAACAGACAGAGTAATTCAGGGGTAATCATTCCCTTTCCCCCTGATTCCCTTTACTGTTTCCTTTCCCTTTCCTCACAAAAGTTGAGATGCCATGGGTAAGAAAACTGGGCGGTTGAGCAATGTTCTACAGTTAACAGGTGCGATTTGATGAGGTAGGTTACGGGCTTATCGCTGACTTCACGCCTAAAATTTTAGGCGGCAAGATTTTTTCCTGCTGCTATTGTAAATAGAAAGATTATTTATTTTGCTTTCACAAATATTATTAGTGTTGTTATATTATTTTTATTATTATTAGTTTTTGCTTTATACGGTTATCATTATCCTGAATGTATTTATAGTTATCAGTATTCAAAATTTATTTACGACTCTTAAAAAAGTTTAAGAGCATTAACCTCCCTAAATAAGAATTAACCAATTTTTTTTAATACAACCGAAATGGCCCAAATATACATGGTGTAATTCATTAAAATAAAATTGTCCCATTACTGCATGATTAGACCCAAAATTCTAGACGGAAAAAATCTATTGCAGGTAGATTATTTTTATTACTTTTACTAAAATTAAATTAGATCCAATCATTTTATATTTAATAATTTTAAATAGGAAAAAAGACAAAAGTAGGAGTACAATATTGAAAATATATCAACATAAGAATTTCATATGTTTATTTCTGATATATAAGAGTTGAAATATATTTACATTACCAATCATGATCATATACATCACGTAAAATGCACCTATATATTGCTACATTGTCACTGTGTGAACTTCTATTTAGAAAATAGAAATATGAAACTCTCATGTTGGTTTTTTCTCCATGTTCATATTTAGAGTGAATTTTTAAATAAGGAACAAGTCTAAAATAAAAGTAAAATATTGAAAATATACCAAAATAGGAGCTCAATGTTTTTATTTTTGAAATAGGATTTAAAATACATTTACATTGTCAATCATGATCATTTACATTACAAAAAGTATAGTAATATCTACATATAGAATGCAACAATACAACAATTGCAAACTTCTATTTATAAAATAAATAAATGAAACTAATATTTTGATATCTTCACGTTTTACTTCTATTAAAAGTGATTTTTTCTTTAAATATAATTAAAATCAAATATTCCCTCCGTCCCTAAATAGTTTACAATTTTTTTCTCTCTTCCCTCGATAATTTTTGTTTGTTTACGAAATTTTATAAAGTATTTGATAAAATAAAATATTCATGTCACCTCTTGTTTTGTAGAACTTTTGATGTGGTTTTTAATATGTTATTTTTATATTTTTATTGGTATAACAATTTGTAAATAAAATGATTTCAAAAAGTAAAAAATTCTACTCTGTAATCCACAATTTATAATCAAATTTGGGACAGAGGAAGTATAATCAAATCAAATCATATCATATCTTTATAAAATTAAATGAGTATCAAATTAATGGAAAGGACAGCAGCCTAACTTCGTCATCTACCATTAAATAAGTGGAAAGGACATTTACTTTACTCACCTTTCTAGTACAAAGGGTATGTTTGAGAGTGATTAACTTCTAGATAAAATAATTTCCACAAAATCTAAAAGCAAAAGTACCTCATACATAGGGGTGAGCAAATTAACCGGACCGACCGTTAAACCGAAAACCGAAAGCCGAAGTAACCGCTAAATCGGTTTCGGTTTCGGTTTCGGTTTTCCATGACAAAAAGTTCGGTTATTTCGGGTACTTCGGTTTTGTGTCGGTTTTGATTATCGGTTTTTTCGGTTAACCGAATAACCGATATATGTGTTTTGTTTGGGTAAATCGAAGTCTACTACTTTGTAAAGCCCAATAGCATGTCAGCCCACTTCATTATCCAAAACTGGGAATTGTGTGATCAGCCCACTTCATTATCCCTAGGGAAACCCTCGGCTTTACGGATCCAGAAGATCTGCCCTGATGGTCGCCATCGTCTGCATCCACGCTGCATTTCGGGAATCAGAAGATCTCTTTCTCGATGAGCACGAGACCCCCGTCAGTCCGTCACGTGGTTCCACTCCTTCTTGAAGGCCGACCCCTGTTCCCAGCGTTGC